TTGAAGTCCTCCAGGCTTAAAGTCGCCAAGGTTGGAGATCCCTGCATAAAGTATCCTGCTTGAGCAGGGGGGCTGGACTAGAGGACCTCGTTTTCCAACTCGGTTATTAATTGTATCTTCTCAGGATTGGTTGGTTACAGTTCCAAGAATGTGAAGAATAAAAATGGATCATCTCAGCAGATGGCCTGGAAATTTTCAGCCAAGACTACGTTATCTTTTTATGCCAAATTTTAATTGTGAAAAAAATGTTCTGGTGTGTCTCCCTTGTTTAAGGGCAAAAATGTTCACTTCCATCCATTCACTGAAGAAAATGGAGCACGTATTCCAAAATGTCATTTCAAAAAATACAGTGATTGCTTTATGGGTTCTTTTGTCCTGTCTTACCACTCCACCTTATGAATGAATACACATCTCTATTTTTCTCTTTGTTTCTGGTCTTCATGCATCTTAGACTGAAAAAGGAGGCTGTAGGGCTGACCAGACCAAAATAAAATCTCAAAGTGAAGTATGCAGATCTGTGTATATTCATTTTTTCACATTACACTAATACCAGTAATTTTAAAAAGAGATCTGTGATGCTGTTCTTTTCCCAAGCCGATTAACTAACTTCTGCAGAGATGCATCCAGCAGAGACCACGTTATTAAGTCAAATTTCAGACCTGTAGGTGATGCAGAATTACCCCAATTTGGGGGTTTCAAAATTTCTGTTTTGTTTTTTGCTGGAAATATCAGTTGTTTAGGGTGTTTATATATCTCTTGGTGGCATGTATATCTTTTCATCATTGTGGAATATATGCTGAAATTTCCCTTTTAAACTGCTGTAATAACTATGTAATTTCCTTCCTTCCCTCCTCCCTTCTCCCCCCAATTGTCCAACTCTAAATGACATACAGTTCCCTAATACATGTGGGATTAAAAGCAATGCAAATCTCAGTGCAAAAAACAAAACAAAACAGAATGCATATTCAGAAGAATGAAGTAAATAGTTATAGCAAATTTGAATTTCAGTACAGTTCAATCTAGTGATTAAGGCCCCAAGCCAGAAACCAGGAGACTATTAATTCTAGTCCTTTCTTGGGCATAAAGGTTGGCTGGGTGACTTAGGGTAGTCACTCTCAGCCCACAATGCCAATCTCTGGTGACAAGCTAGTTAGCTAATTCTGGCTCAAAAATAAATGGAAAAGATCAGAAATATTCCTGAAGATTTAGTTTAGTTGCTGGCCCATATATATATAGATACATATATACATATATATACACACATATGTATAGATACATATATACATATACAAATATATGTACATACATCTCCTTTTCAAAAATTGAAAACTGGATCCAGGGTGTTGTGATCAGATGATTGCTATGCTACCTTAACACTGAAAATCGATCCATAATGAAGCCTCTCGGCATTTCTTAATTGAAAACAACAAAAATATTTTAAAACTATGAAGTATCCTTTGTTTTGCAAGATCTCATCACCCATCCCCTCCAACTTGTAACTGTATAATTCTAACTTTGTCGCTTGTATCCTCACGATTTATATTGACTGTTTCCTAGTATGATTTTATTGCTTATTGTACCTTATGACTATCATTAAGTGTTGGACCATATGATTCTTGACAAATGTATCTTTTCCTTTATGTACACTGAGAGCATTTGCACCAAGACAAATTCCTTGTGTGTCCAATTACACTTGGCCAATAAAGAGTACTATTCTAATTCATCTGGCCATGTTTTCCAGATTATACTGCCACATTACCAGATTAATGCTCTGATCAGTACCTTCAAAACTATTCATGCCAAGGCTTTCTGTAGATGTTTATTTGACTTACAGTAACAAAAATCTATGAAGTTCCACATTTAATGTACAATGATATATTCTGAAATATAAAATACAATTTACAGAAACTCTGTCAAGTAAACCTAAACAACACTTGATTTAGTATACTTACATGTATGGTTTTAAGTTAGAAACTTCTTGAATAAAAAAATTACATCATAGGTATTTGCATTCTATACCACCTTTTTTAATTTTTTGCAAAATATTTTGCAAACAGGCCTTTTTTTTAAATATTAGCATGTCCATGATGTTTAAAGACTAAGATGTACCAATATAAAGTATAACTATGTAGTGATTTATTTATGGGGTAGTACTATTTATATTGCAGTTTTCAAAATGCAGATGTTACGAATTTAGTATTACATTTGCAAATGCTTACAAAAATATCAAAGTAACTGTTTATCTGTAAATGTATAAATCCAATTCAACTGGTAATGTTTTTCTATGTACTGTTTAGAATTATATTATGAACTTGAAGAATACAGAAAAAGTAATAGAATACTGTTTTTCATAGAAAAAAGCCTTCCCTTTTAAAGTACAGAATTGTCAGTAACGGCTTTATTTCTCCAATTTTTACAGAAATATTTACTTCCAATTTTATTTTAGTAGCCATGAATTCATATGGACAGGACATATTCCTATCAAAATTAAGAATTTCAGTGCTGTTGTCAATGAACAGGGTAATTACCAGCATCCTGAAATCTCTCCCACTTAAGTTAGAACTTAAAAGTTCTTCATCTTGGCTCAGCTAAATTGTCTTTAGTTCATGCATCTTTTTGACTGATAACCATAAGAAAAGTCAGATTGCTTTAACTCAATGCTTGATATATTAATCTTGATAACTCTCTTTCCTCCCACTTTGTTCAGTCAATTTAGGTTAGAAAAAATCAACACCTTTTTTAAAGCTGTTATATTGAGTACAGAGGGTATTCATTTTCATTTCACCTTTCATAAAAATACAGAATTTTAAGAGTTTATTGATAAGAAAGGTAGTGATCTATCTAGACAAATGTACTTCTTGTCTGAGCACATAAATCAGTCGAAATTACATTCAAAATG